CACGACCTCACAGTACACCGACGTGAAGCAACGCTTGAGTTGTGTTTAGTCATGTGAGTGAGGTTACCGGAGGCCCAATTACCTTCCTCCCTAGTACCCGTCTCCCTAATCCCCGAATCCTCCACAATCCTCAAAATCCCAATTCCGAAAAGGCCGGTAACGCACTTGTAACGCCTTGGTGTTTCGAGTGTCCATGGGCGACGCCGATTGCTTACCATCAGGTGATCCGTCTGCTCGTTTACCGGCTTATGCTATAAAAAAAACGTCCCCAACGATCCTCAAATTCCTAATCCCCAAAAGGTCGGTAACATAGATACTTGTAACGCCTCCAGTGTTCCGGGTGTCCATGGGAGACGCCGATCGCTTACCATCAGGTGATACATCAGTTCGTTTAAATCTTCATCAATCAATCTTATCTCGTAAATAGAAAAAACCTATTAATATAGATGGGAAAATAACTTTTTGTTAAATTAAACTGAAATTAATTTTGTACGTAATTGTCAAATTAAGCGACCAAAAAAATTGAACAAAATAATAGTACCTACGATTAAAATATATAAGTAAAAACTAAGATTATATATTTACTTACATCTTACAATTATCATAGTAATATAAAAAATAACTTTTTGTTATGTACATCTATTGTTAGTTATATAACTTATTATATAATTGTATTGTATATAGTTTACCTATTTGAACGTAAATATCAGTTTTTGTTAACATAGGTATATTTATAGGTCAAAAAATCAAGGACTTTTTGGAAAAAATTGTTTGTGTCATAGGTACAAGAGGACAAAGGACAAAGCTTATATATATCATTATATGTAAATATATTTTTTTTAAGGGGGAAAATGATCGAATGACTACTCCCGCCTAGGTGAGGCGGGAGGGAGTGTCAGACTCTTACTGACTAAAAACCACCCCGTTCCTTCTCCTGCACGTCGAGCCGGAGCCCCGGTTACCCGTTAGGTTCTTCGCGACATATGTAAATAATAGCTTCTGCCGGCAGCGTCGCCAGTGCCAGCATTAGGGGGGGGGGACACTCGCAGCCAGGGGGGCGTGATGGGGCGATGACAAATTCTGGAGGGAGCCAAGGTCTGAAGTTGGAGTCTCTTGCCTCTCCTGGTGCAAACCCTTACAACTATGCTCTACGCTCTGTGCTGCATATTTATTATTGAGTTTTTTTTAGATGGATTTTTTTGAGGGTTTGTGGTCCGCGTCGTTAGCTTTGGGTAACGCTAAAGGAAAGATGAAATTCTTAATATAACTTTACTTGGGATCAGCAAAAAACTAACACTTGATATTGCTTCCCTCAATATTTTCACCCGGGATGTCAGTGGCCCTTAGGCCGGCACTGAGCGGCGTCGCTCGCGTTCCGTGGGATAAAAAATAGTATGTGTATTATTCCAGACCATAATCTACCTCTGTTCCAAATTCCATCCCGATCCCTTTAGCCGTTTATACGTGACTGAGTAACAAACATACAAACACACAAACATTAACATTTATAATATTAGTAGGATTACATTAGTAATATCAGATGCAGTCATCAATAAGACTAAGTAAATATAAAACTTTTTCGAAAACCTCATCACTCACAGTCTAGCAGTTCTGTAGATGTTAGTTATGACACATACGAACAAACGACGTTGTCATTGTATATAATATGTATATTTAAGTAGGTATATACAGACGACTTGGGATGGACATGGTATTTAGTAGTATTATTATTATAGTCATAAAAAAATCGGTCAAGGGTGAATTGTATTTAGAATTTTATAGTTCCTTGTCAGACTTCTATGGAATGAATACGGCCGAGCAGAAAACCGACGTGAAACAACGCTTGCGTTGTGTTTCGTCGTGTGAGTGAGGTTACCGGAGACCCAATTACCTCTCCCCCTTCCCCAATTCCTGAATCTAAAACAATCCTCAAATTCCTAATCTCCAAAAGGCCGGTAACGCACTTGTAACGCCTCTGGTGTTCCAGGTGTCCATGGGCGACGACGATTGCTTACCATCAGGTTATCCGTCTTTTCGTTTACTGGCTTATCCCATATAATAAAAACTTTATGACTGAAATCAATTTTTCGAAGGGGTAGACAGAGGGTGCATATATACCTACAATGTATCACCCACTTTTCACTATTTATGTTATGAGTCCCGTGTAATAGGGGGTGAGCCTATTGCCATATACCGGGCACAATTCCTCATTTGCTATTAAAAAAAACTACAAAACAAATAATTTTTCAAGAAAAGTATTATACTAAAGGAAATAATAAATAAAATAATTTGCCCATACCAGGAATTGAATACAGGGTCGTCTAAAGCGACCACCTATATACTAAATCAATGTAGCATTCGTTTAATTACATAATGTTCTATTAATAAAGAATCTAAATGTCCTAATATGGCGTCCAAGGTTGTCAAAATTTTGGCAAATAAATGAGTCAGGCTCAACCTTCTGCGGGGTTACGGGCGATGCTAAGTGTATACCAGAGTGCCAAGCACGAACAACTATCGCATTATCGCATCATATTTTAAGTGTGGGAGAGCCATGCTTCGGCACGAATGGGCCGGCTCGACCGGAGTGATACCACGGCCGAGCAGAAAACCGACGTGAAGCAACGCTTGCGTTGTGTTTCGTCGTGTGGGTGAGGTTACCGGAGGTCCAATTACCCTCCCCTTCCCCAATATCCCCAATTCCTGAATTCCCAACGATCCTCAAACTCAAAATCCCCAAAAGGCCGGTAACGCACTTGTAACGCCTCTGGTGTTCCAGGTGTCCATGGCGACACCGATTGCTTACCATCAGGTGATCCGTCTGCTCGTTTACCGGCTTATGACATAAGTAACGTTCGGCGCTCTGATTGGCTGGTTCTGGAGCCGGCATTACGTTACGAATGCTATTGTTACCCTTGCTTGGCACTCAATAGAAAGTCGGCAAGAAGGGCCCTCAGCTGGAAGGGGTCCCGTTCATAGGTTGTTACCAACTGAACTCCTGTATTTTTATTGGGAACGGTGTCCCATCTGGTGAATTTGCAACGGGCCCCGAAACGGTATAGTTACGCCACTGACATATACCATTACTAGCTACTTCCGCGCGGTTTCACACGCTCTGCTCAGCTCCTATTGGTCGTAGCGTGATGTTTTATAGCCTATAGCCATCCTCGATAAATGCACTATCCAACACAAAAAGAATTATTCAAATCAGACTTGTAGTTACGGAGATTAGCGCGTTCAAACAAACAAACAAACTCTTCCGCTTTATATAATAGTATAAATAATATATACCATTATATTAAGCCGCGGAAGGCCTAACGGGTTGTCAGGATCCTGGCTTGAAGAGCAGGAGTAGGAACGGCGCGGTTTTTAGTCAGTAAGAGTCTGACAATCCCTCTTGCCTAAACCAAGGCGGGAGAAGTCATTGGATGATTTAGCCCCTCAAAAAAAAAAAACTGCCATATACACCATGGCTCCTGCTGTACGTAGGAGTAGGAATAGAGTGGTGTTTAGTCCGTAAGAGTTTAACTCTCTCGCCTGTCCCAGGGCGGTAGGAGACATTTGTTGATTTTCTATCCTCATAAAGAAGATACTAATTTGTCTACGGTCATTATAAAATATAACGCCTCGATTAATAGGAGTTGAACAGAACAGGTAAAGCAGCTCAGCAGCTGTCGCCAAATGCCATTTAGCGCTTGTCTACTTGTAGAATAGAAAACCAAATTATATGGAATTGACGTAAATTTTGACTCTTGTCAGCGTCATCCCCATACATTTAGTGTTCTACTTTCTCGGTAGACAAGCGCTAAAGTGGCGTTTGGCTAAAGGCACTGGAGTGAAGTACAAAAGGTTATGATAAAATATAAATAAGATAAATACTATGACGTCAAAAATGACTGTAATATTTTTATAATTAAATAAAATTAAATAATTTGATTACAATTACAAACGACATCCTGTTTGCAATGTGAAACTTAAAATTGTCCTCCATTAAAATTTCGAATTGTATTTTGTTTTAATAAAACGTTTTTTAAATCATTTATGAATGCAAGTTTAGACACTTAATGTTAAAATTAATATGAGTATTCGAACAATAGACGAAAACACCAAACACAACACAAATGAGAATCTTATTCTTCTCAAGCATTGTCGCGGAGAACCTAACGGGTAACCGGGGCTCCGGCTCGACGTGCAGGAGAAGGAACGGGGTGGTTTTTAGTCAGTTAGAGTCTCACTCCCTCCCGCCTCACCCAGGCGGGAGCAGCCATTCGATGATTTTCCCCCCTTAAAAATATAAAAATCTTCTCAAGCACGAGGGTGCGGTTTCGAAAACTACCAACGGCAAGTACCAATGTAACTTTTACCTAAGAAATCTAAGTAAAATTCAAATTTTATAAGGGCCACGGTTCCAAGCACAGCGACTCATTTCCCATTAGACGGGTTGTAAGCATCATCATAACCTTGAAGGTATAATAAGAGATACTTGGAGCGTCGGAGAACGCGGGACGATCTCCGGCCACCGTAAGTGCGGGTCTGCGGACGCCGAGCGACAGTGAGCGAGGGTAGCTTGCCGCCCGACCTGCATGCTTACTCTTGAATCCAATTCCGATCGATCGACATTGGTATTGTAAAATTTCGTACTCTTGAGTTGCAACTCTGGCGCCCATTGCATCCGTATTACGTGGATATTTAATGAACTAAATGGTATTGAGTTTGGCTTTATATTCCGTACTCTGAATGCTATTTTAATAGCTACGATAGGGGTTGTATAGTTTTGACATTGAATAATTATTGAGTTTTTATTGAGACATTGAGATTGGTTTCAAGAGTAAGCACCCAGAACCAGATCCGCACGTAAGGCGCGTTGCGTTCCGCGCGTGCCACAGATAGAGCCCAACAGCGGGTCCGATACGGAGCCACAAAAGGACTAAGGCTCCGGTTCAAAGAGTAGGAGTAGGAAGGAGGTGGTTTTCATAGGTTTTAAATCGATCAATACTCACCTATAAACAAAAGGCCCGACTTCCACCAGCTTCGGTTTCTCTCCGTTCTCCAGGAACCCTTGAGGGTTGGTTACGTTAAAGATGTAGACCTTCGTTAGCCTGATCACGCCAGGTTTGTGCCAGTAGCTGTAGCTTAGAGAGCCGTTCCATAGTCTCAATTCCTGTAACATAACATAACATCATCATAACACTTCACGCCATTTTATCCCCGAAGGGGTAGGCAGAGGTGCACACATAAGTAACACCCACTTTTCACTATGTATGTTATGAGTCTCATGTAATAGGGAGTGAGCCTATTGCCATATACCGGGCGCATTTCCAGACTCCGTACTACTACTGATATTTTTAAAAACCCAGCAATACTTTGCCCGACCCGGAAATCGAACCCGAGGCCCCTTGCCCGGCAGTCGCACTTACAACCACTCGGCCAACGAGGCATCACACTTATAACGCCTCTGGTATTGCGTGTGTCCATGAGCAGCGTTGATTGCTTACCATCAGGTAATCCATCTGCTAGTTTACCGGCTTATCCCATAACAAAATAAAAAGGAGCGTGCCGTAGTTTTGCATCTCTATTATAAGCATTTATAAGATTAATAGTACGATAGAGTACTCACCCTAAATATAATGTAATCCAACCAGGGTACAAATGACAGTATGATTCCTAGTACAACTGTACATATACTGAACATCACCACTGTCAGTCGACCTGTAACAAAAAAACAAATATTTAATCTCAAAGTCAAGTGTTTTCAAAATTACATTATATAGGATCATCTGATGGTAAGCGATCAGGGCCGCCCATGGACATCCGCAACACTAGAGGAGTTACAGATGCGTTGCAGGCCCTTTAAAAAGGAATACGCTCTATTCTTGAAGGTTTGAAGGTCGTATCGGTTCGGAAATACCGCCGAGTACAAGAAATGTAATATCAATACATAGTATAAAACAAAGTCGCTTTCGTTGTATGTCCGTATGTATGCTTAGATCTTTAAAACCACGCAACGGATTTTGATGCGGTTTTTTTTTAATAGATAGAGTGATTCTTAAGGAAGGTTTGTATGTATAATACATGCATATTGCACCCGTGCGAAGCCGGGGCGGGTCGCTAGTAATTAATATAATATAGTATCTAAAGAAATAGGAGCTTTTATTATATTTCAAAGAGAAATATCTGTGATTATATTGACCACGTAACTGGTCTGTAGCCACCCTGTAGTCCTCTAAATATCATCCCGAAATTGTCTTGTAAACATCTCGAATTCGTCTTGTAATAATTCAGAAATCGTCCTGTAAATGTTCCGAAATCGTTCTGTAATCATTCCGAAATTGTCCTGTAATTGTTCCGAAATCGTCCTTTAATCATTCCGGAATCGTCCTTTAATCATTCCGAAATTGTCCTGGAAACATTCCGAAATCGTAATGTAATCGTTCCGAAATCGTCCTGTAAATATTCCGAAATCTTCCTGAATCATTCCGTAATAGTGCCACCTTATAACCTTATATTACAATCTATAATCTAAGTAAAACTGGAACTACATAGGCACACGTTCAAAAACAATGAGCTTCTATTTCAACTAGCATTTATCCACAGCGTTGCTTGTTTGAATTTCCTATCCTATCCCATCCTTCTCCATGCTCCCAACTATGATGTACACAAAATGTCAAAAAGATTGCTCAGTAGATACAGAGATGAAACTGACTTTCGAATTATAATAATATTAGTTGGAATCTGTGAATCGGTCAAGGCTTTGTTTTAACAGTGACATGCTTATACCCTTTGCATGAGTCTTGTATTTAATGTGTAATCATTTTAAGAAGGAAATGACAAATTACTTGTGTATACTATAAGTTATAAACTTATAGCGATAAGTACGTGTGTCGCCTGGACAGTCAACCTCGCTACATCCTTGTTGACTGGACGTCTACACTACATGAGCTGCTGTTTACATGTGAACATTAGCTCATGACGATACCTAAGTACGTGTGTCGCCTGGACAGTCAACCTCGCTACATCCTTGTTGACTGGACATCTACACTACATGAGCTGCTGTTTACATGTGAACATTAGCTCATGACGATACCTAAGTACGTGTGTCGCCTGGACAGTCAACCTCGCTACATCCTTGTTGACTGGACATCTACACTACATGAGCTGCTGTTTACATGTGAACATTAGCTCATGACGATACCTAAGTACGTGTGTCGCCTGGACAGTCAACCTCGCTACATCCTTGTTGACTGGACATCTACACTACATGAGCGGCTGTTTATGCATTATCTTATGACTTGAACTGTGTATCGTTGGGTGATTTACCTGCATATAACCGTTTTGATTAATTATATACTGGTCTGTGTTTACGTAGACACGTTTTAAGTACCTCTGCACGTGTCTGTTACGGCATTGTTTGTAGCGTGATGGGTAGGTAAATAGAATAGATTAGTTGTATGAGAATCTGGTATATCTATTGTGAGTAGCAGTTTCATTTTATTTGCCGCTGTTGTCGGGACTGCGGCCGCGCTCGCCGATGCAGCGGGAGCCGCAAACACCCCGAAAATTGTTTTCAAGTCAAAATCATTTTGTTCAATTAGACCAGGAAGGCTCTTTTGAACGTCAACAATGTAAATTTAAAGTGAAGCTATTTGCTCATTCCGAGGTGTAGATTTCTATGGAGAAGAACGAGTAAGAAACTTCATAGGTTACTCTTTTCCAATCAGGTTCACAATACAATTCTCCAGTTACATAATTTTATTGTTCCGATTGTGCAAGAACAATGTAACACCAGTCAAAGAGATCGAAATAGAAAACGAAAATAAACTTAAAGACAATAAAATAATACAGTCTGGAGCTGACCAGTCCCAGTTGAGGGCGTCAGTTCACGAACATGACACGTACACCAGCACCACCCAACTCAACCATATTGTAGGGAATCGAGCGATCCAATATCTGTATTCTAGAAAAGCTGCGTACGTAACCGCGGCCGGCGTGGGAGAAAATCCCGCCATGTATGCTCAGCCTAAAATTCGTGACGTATTTAATAAGTTGTTTACAATTTACCTCGTATTGACAACTCAGTACAAAGTACTAAGACGTACTAGTAACTGCCTTGACTACTTAACCCCTAGCAATTAGTGACATTATTGTACTTAGTCACAATGTAATTGTGTTATTGTTTGTCGACAGTGGGTAGGCAGGGTCATTCAGGTGTAGTACGCATTTAGCACATAATTTTCGCAACGTAGTAATTATAAAAGAGTTTTTTTTTTAAGGAGGGAAAATCATCGAATGACTGCTCCCGTCTGGGTGAGGCGGGAGGGAGTGTCAGACTCTTACTGACTAAAAACCACCCCGTTCCTTCTCCTGCACGTGGAGCCGGAGCCCCGGTTACCCGTTAGGTTCTCCGCGACTAATTACAATAGGGTAGATGCTTAATTTTTATTTTAATGTCCGTCTGGTAGATTATTTTAAGTCATTAGACACGTATTTTTTATTTTCTAACAGAAACGAATACTTTCGACGATATATTGATTTGAAATGTCGCGTGACGTCACTTCTATGTAGGTACATTTTATACGTAGAAATGACGTTTTAGCCTCCACTCCTAAACTTTGATACGTTTTATCTAAGTATTATTTTATTATACGACAAAATAAAAAAATACGTGTCTAATATTTTTTCATTACCTACCTGACGGACTAATTAGATTTTAAATTTTCATACCCTGTCATCATCCCAATTTCATATACTAATTCACGTTGAAAAAAATGGCGGACGTAGCCTCTTGAAACAACGACTGTGGCACGTAGCTACTATAGATTTACACGCAGAACATGCACACATTGACACGAAGGACATCTGTCATTTTCTTAAGTCTGGTAACTGTTTTTTATGGTATAAGCCGGTAAACGGGTAGACGGATCACCTGATGGTACTTAAGCAATCGGCGTCGCCCATGGACACCCGAAATAATAGAGGACATTTGGTGATTTGAGGATTTGGGTCACCGGTAAATATAATTTGGTGACTTGAGGATTTGGGTATCCGGTAAGCTTTATTACTCAGAAAAAATCCCTTAGGACTTTGCCTGTGTGTTGTTTGTCAGTCAGTCAGTCACTGAGTAAAGCAAAATATGTTTTTTCTATTTTAATAAAGTCGGTTAATATTTTAAATCTTGCAACTACGTGTAACAAACACTTTTATGGAAACTTGCATCGAAATTCGTTCAGCTAATCACGAGATAATTACGGACGAACATACCAACAGGTGCAATTAACAACATTATTCTTGTTTTTGAAGTCGGTTAAAAATTCTTCATTTATCTATAGGTACATATAATAAAACTGTGAGAAATGAAAATTCTGTACATTGAAATTTTTTTTTTAAACTTTGCCCCACACTGGGATTATCTCCAGACCCGGAACAACAATTTGTGGATCACACAAAGAGTTGTTCCGTGCGGGAATCGAACCCGCGACACTTTGCACGGCAGCCGGTTGCCCAGCCACCGCACCAACCGTGCAGTCAAATACTAAATAAATAAATAGTAGGGACTGTTACTAGACCGACACCGAACCTTAAAATCAGGTTAAAAAATATTATCGCTGGCAGAAGCTAGTTGCTAATGAAATCGCTTCGCTTATCGCCCCGCTAATCGCTCCGCTACGCTACAAGTACATCCTTATGAATATTTCTATAGAATAGAGGTGAGAGATCAATGCCAGTACTTTGTGACAGATACCTCATTATTTCTATTAAAATGGGATTCCCTAGATCGTCTACTTCCTAGTAAAATACTAGCTATTCAACCGTGGCGTCGTCTGTGTAGAATATTTATTGTTAGAAGCATTTTTTTTAAGGGGGGAAAGTCATCGAATGACTGCTCCCGCCTGGGTGAGGCGGGAGGGAGTGACAGACTCTTACTGACTAAAAACCACCCCGTTCCTTCTTCTGCACGTCGAGCCGGAGCCCCGGTTACCCGTTAGGTTCTCCGCGACATTGTTAGAAGCATAGAAGAAAACGAAACGTCATCGCGTAACGCGAAAATGTAATCTGTGGTACGAGAAATGAAAAAGTCAAGATGGCGGGAACTCTGAAGTTATTGAGACGCCATATTTGGTGTTGAGGGCATTTTAATCTAGTTCAAAGTCAATTTGTCTATTTATGTTTTGTTGTTATTCTCTCTAATTCATAGTTATAGTTTAGCTAGTCCTGATTTTGTAATTTGATTTCGATGTTAACAATATAAGGTGGATTGTAATGGTGGTACTCTTTATTTATCCTGCCTTCTGAGTTTCTAAAATCCAATGTGGTTTAAAACTAATAAGTTTCTAATAATTACCAAAGAGTAAGAAAAACTTTATGGCGAGTTTCTAAGTTTCTTAATATTGTTTATTTAAATAATGTTACACTTCTTTTTTTGTTATAGATATGTAGCTGAAGAGTTCATTTGTTCGAACGTGCTGATCTCCGGAACTACTGTTTCACAATTAATAATTATTTTTGTGTTAGACAGACAATGAGTCTACAGGTTATAAAACATCACGCTACGATTAATACGAACCGAGCAGAATATAATTCTGCGTGGGAGTAATTACTTTTTATAGTGCTTCACACTAATCCTACTAAACCAAAAATTCAGATTTTCGCATCATGAAGCCGAGCGAGGAGGACTGGGATGCCGTCTCCTACTTTTGCGAAGCAGTCATGCT